ACGCAGCAGGTGTTGCTCAAGTCTGGTCCCAGCGGGTTGCCCGGGAAGACGTCTCCGGGGCCCTCCCGTACGACGGAAGGCAACGCAGCCCTGGAATGCTCAGCCTCTCGTCTCCCCGACTCTCGACCACGGCTGTCCTAGTACAGCTATCAGAGGTACAGCCGGCGAGGCGGGGTGTTGTACCCAGGGCTTTCCACGGGAAATGTATCCGTCTGGGCGCGCCGTTCCTCAGCTACAACCCCGGGAAGACGTCTCCGGGGCCCTCCCGTACGACGGAAGGCAACGCAGCCCTGGAATGCTCAGCCTCTCGTCTCCCCGACTCTCGACCACGGCTGTCCTAGTACAGCTATCAGAGGTACAGCCGGCGAGGCGGGGTGTTGTACCCAGGGCTTTCCACGGGAAATGTATCCGTCTGGGCGCGCCGTTCCTCAGCTACAACCCACTAGAGTGACAGTCCTTTCCCCACAGCCCAGAGAATACAGCGACAGTGGCCAACTCAGACCTCCTGCCTCTTTGGGTTGTGCCCTGTCTGTCTGGATCGGGGGTTAGATACAGCCTGGTGCGGAGCAATTCTAAGAAAAGGTCCATCGGGCCCAGTGTCCCATCTGCCGACACCGACTGTAGAGGAGACACTGTGGAAGCCACAGGACTTTGCAACCCCCCTTTGCTCTCTTTATGCGACCGTCGCACAGGACACCCCGGGCAGGCAAATCAACAGGAGAGCAGTCGCACCGACACGTGATTTTTAAACAGCCGGCGTCCTGGGAGCCAAACGGAATCTAGCCCCTGCTGCATGCCTGGCAAAGGGCCGACCTCGCCTCTCGCAGCTCCCCGCCGCGGGCGGTCCCTTCCGGCCCCCAGCTCTCCGAGGAGACGCGCACCAGGCAGGGGTCCGCGAGGCGGCTTCACCGCTCGGTTTCCTCACAACACATGCAGGTGGAGGGGGCTGCTGAAGGTCATTTTCCTGTTCGCGGCTCTGTCGATTCGCGGCAGGAGGCTCACTGGCCCCCACCCGCCAGCCCCTGGGCGGGGGGGCGGTTGGGGGGA